TCCGCAAGCGCTCACCGTTGATTGTTAATGGATTCTCTGATGCAGACTGGGTAGGTTCTAGAGATGATCGAAGGTCCACTGGCGGCTTTGTAATCATCCTAGGATCAAATGTGATCTCATGGAGTGCTAGAAAGCAGGCTACAGTTTCTAGTTCGAACACTGAAGCTGAGTATAAAGCCATGGCAAATACTACAACTGAGATGATGTGGGTAGAGCAATTGCTTGGTGAGTTGGGTGTCAGATTAAAGGTCAAGCCTCGGCTCTGGTGTGATAACTTAGGAGCGACATACCTATCTGCGAATCCAGTGTTTCATGCCAGAGCTAAGCATATAGAGATTGATTTTCATTTTGTGCGAGAAAGAGTTGCAAGAAGGCAATTAGAAGTGAGGCTTGTATCAACTGAAGATCAGGTTGCAAATGGTTTCACCAAAGCTTTGCCACACCGGGAATTTGAGGAATTTAAGAACAAACTAAATCTTGTAGAAAAGACAAGTATAGATTGAGTGGGGGTGTTAGGAAATGTAATGTGACAAACCTTGTAAACGTGTAACACAAATGTGCCACGGCAATGACCTGGTGGTGTGCACGATAAACATGTATTCGGTTCAGATTAGATAGAGGTTGTTAGGCCTAGTTGTTGAGATCATTATCTTCTCTAACCGAATATCTTGTAAGCCAAATATGTAACATATATATATATATATATATATATATATATATATATATATATATATTAACACGGAGACGTGATGAGCCAAGCAGTCACGGTTGCCACCATATTCTTTACAATTATTATCAGATCTTCGTCCCCTCACGAAGCACAACTTGTAAATAAATTAGGATCGGGGAAAGCCGTTCTGCCGTGCAAATTGCGGTGCAAGTATTGCACCGGCAATCGTCGGGCGACGACGAGGGGGACAGTTGCTTCAACTCGCTACTAGTATCCGATCGGTCAAAGAAGCAACAAGATAGAAGAAGATTTTGTGTTAGTATCTAATAGTATCATCATCCAGCTAGTTTGGAGGTTGGATAGGAAATCATTGGCACTATGCACATGGCTCCCTATCTTCTGCAGACCAGAGAATGAGATAAGTGTCATGTTCGCTTGGCTGATAAGCCATGACTAAAAGTACTGTTGACTGATTTATTGTGAGAGAAAAATACGGTTCGTTGGCTGAAAAAATACGGCTTATAAGCCAAGCGAATACTCCGTTCATACTATAATCTTGCCATCGGCCTCTAACCAAATTCTCTTTGCAACGTGAGCTTCTTGTAGTATTGATTTTTTTTAATATAATATTTCTATTCAAAACTTAGTAGAGACAAGACATTCCTAAAATGATTTTAACCAACCTTTACGTTCTAGCGTCGAGAGGACTAGACGTGAGCACGTTCACTGCACATTGACACCTTCGTGTGTAGGTTATCGCTTAGAGGTTGTTTGGTTTGCACCTAGACAAAACCTGTATGGCACCAGTGTCACCACCAAAAGTTCGATTTTGTAGGCTTGGGGCTATGAGCAATGTACCAACGTTGAAGCTTATAAAGACGTAAAAGTCTCTACAAAAGAATTTCTGCTGCACTGCTAATGTACTACTAATGGCACATGTCGTTGGGGCAGTGTGGGTTAAGGACGGAACCACCACAAAATTTAAGTGATAGTCTGCTACTAATACACCTCTACAGCTAAAGGAAAGAAGACACGTTTTCTTTTGAAACCCAGAATTTTAGTGACAGCCCGTGTCCGCCCCTGGCGTGGGACCCACACACTAGAGCATAGAATCATCTCCAACAATCTAGCATGCTGCTAGCTATTTGATACCAACTCATCCATGTTGGTCCTACATGTAAGAAATTTTAAATTCCTATCTTCTCTCTCCAAAATACACTGAATCCATACAAGGAAGAGTAGAGCGGCTTGGGCCAACCACCGTGCTTGTGTTCTTGGGTAGCGCGCTCCTAGCTAGCGACGAAGGAAGCACTAACTAGTTGATTTTTGCGCTCTCTCCTCTTCGAGTCACTCTTGGCCAGATCTCAATCCTAGTCAGCTAACTACGTCGATGGCCGTTGGGGACGCCCATAGAGGGAGAACACCTACTAGCCGGTTACTACTGCATTTTCTTTCTTATTTTATTCATCTAGATAGATGGAAATCGTGATGGAACAGATAGACTGGTATGGCTAGGCACCATGGAACCTGCATGCTAAGACTATAGCTTCAAGTATTATTATAGAACAAATTTAAGAGATTGTTTAGATCTCAGCCACAGATGGCCACGCCAAAAGTGTGGCGTGTTGTAGCGGTGGCATGGTTTCTCGACGCCACACTTTGTGGCGGGATCTCTGCCATAAAAATCTATAGCTACCTCGTTTAAATCACCAACCAACTGAGTGCTTCGATTCTCGTGAGCGGGCCGTCAACCAAACAGCCTCTTAATTTCTATGGCGTCAAGGATTAATGGATTATGGTAGGAAGAGAGTGGAGGTGAATCATAGTATGACCGAGAGACCGACAGGCAAGCAGGGTTCCTGTAGGGGGTGTTTGGTTCCCCTACGAGACAAATCTATTAAACCTAATTAGACTCATGTTTAGTCTTTCTAATTAGTATCAAATATTGGAGGTGACATCTAAACTTTTAACATCCTACTCGCAGGAAAAGATCATGCAGCCTGTTCGCTTGCTCGTAAACGATCGTAAATTTCCAGGTGGGAACAGTGTTTTTCTCTCACACCAAACCATCCCATGAAGTCCCATCGACAGTCAAGTACAGTCCCATGAAGTCCCACGCTAGGATCATTCAGCCTGTTCGGGAGGCCGTATTGTATCGTGGATTATTTACTACTGGTTGGTTTGATATGAGAGAAAAACATAGTTCCCGGCTGAAAATTTACGATCGTTTACCTGCAAGCGAACAGGCTGATTGTCAGCACTCCAACGGGTTCACCGACTTGTCAGAACACGCCATCCCATGAAGTCCCATCGACAGTCAAGTACAGTCCCATCTGAAACCTTTTTCACAACCAGGTCCAGGCAGGAGTGGCAGAGAACAAGAACCACACGCACACGGCGCTCTGCCGCTCTCGGCCTCTCGCCCCTCGTCCGCACCGGCGAAAACGTGCACCGCCGGCGACGACGGGGGGCCGTGCTACGCCACACCAGCAGTCTCGGCCTTGTGCGGCGGGTTGCGTCGCGTCGCGGACGTGGACCGACCGGTATCGCGACGGCTTTGACCGTGGACTGACCGGCCCCCCCTGCCTCACGCCTGCTGGTGCTGGGCCTCAGAATACTTCCAATAACGAAGCACCACAGCAGCTTTGTGCGTGTTTAGTTCCAGTAATTTGGAATTTGGGGCTACTGTAGCACGTTCGTTTTTATTTGACAATTAGTGTTCAAACATGGACTAATTAGGTTCAAAACGTTCGTCTCGTAATTTCCCACCAAACTGTGCAATTAGTTTTTTTTCGTCTACATTTAATGCTTCATGGGCCACAAACATTCGATATGACAGGTACTATAGTATTTTTTAGGATTTTGGGTTTGAACTAAAAAGGGCTTTGTTTTCGTCGGCAGTGTGTGGAAAATGGAGAGTGGACCAGAGATAGAGGGACAAAATTAATAAATAAAAGCAGGGAGGGGAGGGCACCCAAAGTAGCCAGCCGGGAAAGCAACCCCTCCTCAACCCGCCCCGTACGCACCCTCAATTTCCTCCTTTGACGACTCCTACCTTTCCTGCCTGCTTTGAACACCGCCTCCTCCTCCTTTTCCTTCTCACGTATTCCACACCCTCTTTTGTAGTTTTTTTACTAGAAAAAAATACCTCATGTTTGCAAATATGCGCTTTGTAGAATAGGAAATTCGCATTTGAGCTTTGACGATGATGATGGGTCTGTGGATGCGAATTTCAGCTGGTCTAGAGGCGTGGGGACTGGGGGTATATATGAAAAAAAAGGATTTGGAATGATCTTACCCATGGAGCCTCTCTCCAATCAGACATCTTATAAGATCTACGAGCACCACTTCATACTACCTGACTTCGTACAAATTTTAAGTTTAATCTATGCTAAGTTAAATTATATAATTTTCACTAAGTTTTTTTACAAGTTGAAAACATACTACCAAGACATATTTCATGTAAAATTTCATAAAACTTATTCGATGATGTGAATATTGGTGCATCTTTAATATAATCTCCACATAGGGAGAGTGTATCTATATAGTCTAGTCTAGTTTAATATACTGATCACATAAGACACAGAGATGTTGTCTGGCTCCCGCCCACAGCCTGCCACGCCCCGCTGGTGCACGCCGCCGCCGAAGTTGCGGCCTAGCCTGGTAATGACTTGGAATCGCTGTGGGTGCCGCACTCTGCTGTAAACCAAATAGCGCTATTAATTTATGTGGCTGTCATGCATTGTGGACTGGCTGATCGTGGCTTGCAACCAAACACGCTGAGAGTACACATGTTTATATCGTTTTATTTATGGGTTTTTGGTTTTAGAAATTGTTGATTGGTAGAGCTTGAGAAATTTAATATCACGAATTCATTTCATACTAAAAGTTCGAGTTAATAATTTTGATTTTGTCCTTAATTAAAATTGGGAGTTGCCTCTCGTGAGCATACATGTTTTGTAGAAGAATATGGAACTCACATGGATTTTGATTTATGGACTATACAAAATGTATACGCTACAACGCTGTATATATATAAGGAAAACAGAACAAAAAAATATAAGCTTTAAGCGTGGAAGGAAAAATATGCAGTCTTTGAGGGGTACACCTGAAGACTTCTCCGGGGAAAAAAATTGTAGTAGTAACTGTTACGTTTGACACGAGCACGGTAGAGCAGGGCCGTCCGACGCGACGACGACGACCACCAGTCCCTCCACACCATCGCTTTTCCTCCTCCTACGGTCCTTCCATATACCACCACCTCCCCCCTCCCTTACCCTCTCTGGCCGCATTCCCTCGTCCTCCAGCCGGCAGCCGTCGCCAGCTTCCGATGGTCCGGAAGGAGACGGCCATGAGGCTGCCCGCGCAGCACCAGGGCCTGCAGGTCAAGATCCCCAGCTTCTTCCGCTGCCCGATCTCGCTCGACGTCATGCGCTCGCCCGTCAGCCTCTGCACCGGCGTCACCTACGACCGCGCCTCCATCCAGCGGTGGCTCGACTCCGGCAACGCCACGTGCCCGGCCACCATGCTCCCACTCCGCTCCACCGACCTCGTCCCCAACCTCACCCTCCGCAGCCTCATCGCGCACTGGGCCGCCTCCGCCGCCTCCTGCTCCCCCACCGCCGGAGGCTCCGACACTTCTTCCGCACGGACTTCTTCCCCCGCGAGCCTCGTCCGGCAGGTGGCTTCGTCCGGCGTCGACCCCTCCCCGGCGCTCCGCGAGCTGGCGGCCTATCTCTCCGACGACGACGTCGACGACTTCGAAAAGAACACGCTTCTGGGCGCCGGCCGCGCCGCCGAGACCGTCTCATCGGTTCTCCGGAGAAGACCCGAGGAGACCGGCGTCGAGGGCGTGGAGGCGGCCACGAGAGTGCTGGCCAAGATTTTGGCCTCGGACAGCGTCGACGACGCGAACAAGAAGCGGGTGGCCACCGGCCTCGCCGCGGACGCGGCGGCCACGGCCGCGTCGCTGGCGCGCGTGATGCGCCGCGGGAGCGGCGGCCTGGAGGCGAGGGTCGACGCGGCCAGGCTGGCGGAGCTGCTGCTCGCCACCAATGCGGCCGACGAGGCGGCGAAGGCGGCGGTGGCCGAGTCGTCCGAGCTGCTGGCCGAGCTGGTACGGCTCGTGGGCACCGTCGACGAGAAGGGCGCCCTTGACAGGAACGCCGTGGACGCCGGCCTCTCCTGCCTGGCCACCATCTGCGGCTGTGGGTCGGGGTCGCGCCGGGCCTGGGCGCGCGGCGAGATGGTGCGCCAGGGCGCGGTCCCGGCCGCGGTGCGCGCCCTGCGCGCTGCCACGACGGAGCCCGGCGCGTCCGCGAAGGCGCTCCGCGTCCTCGAGTCCGTCGTGGGCTGCGCCGAGGGCCGCGCCGCGCTGTGCGGCGACGCGGAGGACGCCATCCCCGCGGTGGTGGGCAGGATGATGAAGTCCGGGCGCGACGGCGCCGAGGCCGCCGTGGCCGTGCTCTGGGCGGTCTGCCACCGGTACCGCGACCGCCGCGCGGCGGACGCGGCCGCGGCGGCCGAGGGCGGGCTCACGAGGCTGCTGCTGCTGATGCAGAGTGGGTGCTCGCCGGCGGCGAGGCAGATGGCGCTGGAGCTGCTCAAGATATACAGGGTGAACGCCAAGAGCTGCCTCGCCGGCTACGACTCCAAGACCACCCACATCATGCCGTTCTGAGGAAGCGAAGCGGACGAGAATGGCTTGCCGCAATCCTGGGCTGCTGAATAGCTGATCTGATCAAATGGATCCGATGAATCGATTAAATTGCATGGAACAGGGGGATGGTGTTCTTGTTCCTGTGATGTTTCTTGATTTCTTCTTCTTCTTTTTTTCCTTTGATTGATGTAACTCGATAGACAAACAAAGAACAATTGGTTCATGGAGGGGAGAAGAATAATAATCTGTACAGTACATTGGTAGAGTTTTTGACATGATCAGAACAGGCACAGGGGACAATTTAATCAAAGAATTGATTTTTAGGCCAAAGAAATTGTAGAAGTGTTTAATTGCTCTTCCTGAAAGATTTGCGATTTTTCAGAAAAATGATGATCGGCAGGGGATGTGGAATGATAAGGTTGCAACTGGAAGTAATAATGATTATTGCTCCTCAGATCAAAATTTACGAAGAAGCTGAACGACGACGATCACATCAAATGAATGAATGATTTCATTCGAATCATTGGCGTGCACTTGGTAATGCGTACGTACTAGGTTTTCATGAGACGAGAGAAGTGCTTATCAGGCAACAAGTTGTAGAATTGCCTAATGCAGGATGTCGTGGTCTGGACTATCGGACAGATTACTCCTACATGTCCGTAGTCTGAAAGCAAGATCAAGATGGGTACAGCATGCGCACTACTCCGTAGTCATTAGTTAGGATAGAAAAGCCTGGATGGAGCGCGTCCACGTTGCCGCTGACCAGAGCCCATGATGGATTTGACCCGTGGAGCATCACGTCTACTAGATCACCCCACCCACTCATGACTGACCCACAAGTCACGAGACCAGAGATCTCTTGGGTGAGCAGTGAGCTCTAACCGTAACCCAGCTATGTAATCCCAAAGCAAGACTGTCTGATAGAATCATCCAAATCCAAACGGCTTTTGGCTTTACTCATAGCTCACAGTCACATCCCACGGTTCAACCAAACGATGCTTCAAGTTGTCTTCACTATTGGAATATTTATAAACCAGAATGCTTGTTCCCATGCCCACCGGTAAATGGGAGAAAGGAACGTTTGCTACACCATGTTCCATGTTTAATTACCAACTTGAACACATTTCACAAGAATGGGCTTATTTTCACACCTAGGGTATTCCTGCTTAGCACCCTCTATCCGAAAAAATATCATTCTCACTTTTCGAGAAGTCAAATGACAAAATATATATTACAAAATATTGCTATTTATGGTGCATAATTAATATCATTAGATAAATCATTGAATATATTTCCATAATAATCTTATTTAGAGATAGAAATGATGCTACAAACCTAGTCAAACTTAAAGAAAAATGACTGACACGAATCACATAGTGACATTTTTTTTGAACGGATGGAGTACTTTCTAGTTTCTATCATCACAATATAAGTTCATTAATCAGATACATGATATTCGATGTATCATTTTGACTACATATATGTGGCAATAAATACCTTATCTTAGACAAAAAGGGTTATATGCTATCGTGAATATGTTAGTACCACTATTATACTGTCAATCTATATGGGTCTTCACACATAGATTGTCAAATCTAAAAAAAGCTAAGAAAAAGTTTGGCTTAATACAAATCTAGATGGACTCATATTTGTGATTAGAAAAAGTAACTCCAAAATGATCATTGAGTTAAAGAAAAGCTAGAGTCATCATTTACACTCAGGAGTCCGCACTCCGCATAAAAAAGTATGCTTGCTGCGTCCTTTTTCCACCCCACATCTTGCATTTTGACGCGGGTCATCTTCTTGAACGTAGGGGGGCCAAGTGAGAAAATCAGATGCCTAATTATTAAAACTATTCCTAGTGTACAGTGTCATGGATATTAAGATCACATTTGATCAGGCTTCACATGACGTTACCTTAGAGACTAGATCTGAACGGATATTGACAATTGTATATTTGTTTTCACATTTTTCTTCAGATTCAAAGTCAAAGTCGAATGTAGATAGTTGTAGAATATAGCTATGAATGTCGATTATCTTGGCTATACAAATACGAATAAATGTGTGTCGAATATGGGATGACTAGAATGCAGATAGTATCCTTCACGAATATTCTTCGGATATCAAGAGTAAAAGCAACATCCATATATATCACACATGCCGTAATCAATCGACCATCCCACATTTCCAAACCTCATCTACGCAATTTAATGGTAGATATCGTTCATTCATGATGCTTCTAAAAGAATTTGGGCATATTCTTGCTATTTTGCCTTCCACTATGGTTGCCACACGCACATCATCTTTTCATGTACCACTGCACTTTGTATAAATAGATTTGAAATTATATATAAAAAGTTGTTTTGGTTTAGGAGATTTTTTTACAAGGATTTGTATAGAATACTGATGATATCTGATGGTGTGGAAACCAATTTTTTGAGTTATTAGAAAAAGGTAGAGAAAACAACAAAAGAACAAGCAACACGTTAGGCCTGATGTGTTGTTCTCTGACTGGACCTTGACAAGGGAAATGAATCCATGTATGTATGCTTCAACAGTTAATATCCCGTCCTAGTTGCAGCCTAGGGCATGCTGCGAGTTAGTCCCACATTGTTCAGCCAGAGCAGAGGGTGGCGGGAGGTGAGCTCCAGTCACCCCAGGCAACATCTGTAGTTCGATTCATCCATGCCCTTGGTCATTTTGGGTGAGATTGAATTGAATTATTAATTATACTCCCTCCGTACCTAAATATACCTGAATATAAGACGCGATTTGACTTGGTGCGATCTTCGAGAACATATTTTGACCTATAATTTCTCTTAGAGGAATAAAAGTTTGATCATTAAAAAGTATTTGTAAATACAAATCTAATGTAACTACTTTTGTAATACAGACTTTTGATATAATTAGGCTAGCTGTTAGTCAAAGATAACAAAATTAAATTTTAAAATACATGCATGGCTTTTATCCAGGGATAAGGGAGTAGTTGGCTTTTTAGCTCAAAAGAAGAATTAATTCCTTTTTAAATTAAAGGTTTGAGTCCTTAGAAATAAAAAGGCAGAATAGCCATTTTAGTCCATCAACTATTACTCGAAGCTCAGTTTCGTCCCTGAATTTTCAAATTGACCGTTTAAAAGCTCTAGTTTGGTTTTGGTGAATTGATGAAACCCTAAGTGCTAACCTAGTTTATCATAGTGATTATGAAATAGGTAGCACTACTTCAAGAAGTGAAGCAAATGAAGATCATGACATGATAATGGTGATGCCATGGTGATGATCAAGTGCTTGGACTTGGAAAAGAAGAGAAAGAAAATCAAGAAGCTCAAGGCAAAGGTGAAATTGAAAAGAGCTTTTTGGTTTAGTGATTAAAACACTTAGAGAGTGTGATCACATTTAGTATCGATAGCCGTCCTATTAAGAGAGGTGAAACTCGTATCGAAATACGGTTATCAAAGTGCCACTAGATGCTCTAACTCATTGCATATGCATTTAGAATATAGTGGAGTGCTAACACCCTTGAAAATGTTTGTGAAAATATGCTAACACACATGTACAAAGGTGATACACATTGTGTTTAGCACTTGGGAGCAAGGGTTCGAAACTTCACCGGCGGACAGTCCGACGGTGCCACCGGCGCCCTATACAGAAAAGATAGGGTTTCACATAGTGCACCGGACGCTGGTCACGTAGTGACCGAACGCTGGGGAGTAGCGTCCGGTCAACTATAAAAGAAGATGGTACTCTCGGCCTGTAACCGGACGCAGGCGACCGGACTATGACTGAACACTGTTCAGCGTCTGGTCATGCTGATGTGGCGGCGCAACAGAGAAGAGGGAGAGTGATTGGACGCTGGGCGCGTCCGGTCGGGCATGACCGGACGCGTCCGATCGTGACTGGTACCTTACTGGAAGTGACCGGACGCTGGACACTGTGCGTCCCGTCCTACACTGTAGTGCGTCCGGTCATAACTTAAATGTACTGATGACCGTTGAGATCGGGCGATCTGCATTTGAAGCAGGGGCCATGTGGCGTGCATCGCGCGACCGGACGCTGGGGTCCTACGTCCGGTCGATCTGACCGGTGCGTCCGGTCGCACCGACTCTTCAGAGAACAGAGAGCCAATGGCTCTATTCGTGGGGGCTCTCTATTTAAGCCCTATGACCGGCTCAAGCTCACTCTCTTGACAATTTACATTGACATAGCAACCTTGTAAGCTTAGCCAAAGGCCTCCCACTCATCTCCATCATTGATTTATCATCTTTTTGAGATTAGGAGAGAATCCAATTGCATTGCTTGAGTGATTGCATCTAGAGGCACTTGGTATTCGTGTTTCGCTGCCGAATTCGCTTATTACTCTTGGTGGTTGCCACCACCTAGATGGCTTAGAGCAGCGAAAGAGTATTGGCACGAGTTGGGGATTGTTCATGGCCATCTCCGGTGATTGTGAGGGGACTTGTGCCTTCCCTGGCGGAGCGTCGAAAGGTAACCCTAGTGGATTGCTCGTGTCATTAAGTTACCTCACTTGTGGGTAGGTTCTTGCGGTGTCCAATTGTGTGGACGAGGTTCGTGCAACACCTCTTAGCCGCTGAACCACCAAGTGTCGGTCGACAACGTGAATCTCGGGAGAAAATTGGTTGTCCTTGCCCTTTGGTATTCTCCTAGTGATTGAATTAGTGTTCATCTTGTGATTGGTTTACTCCTCTACGCGGCGGTATAATCATCCTACTCACTCATTTACGTTCTCGCAAACTAGTTGTAGCAAGCTCTTTAGTATAACTAGAATTGAGAGCTTGCTTTGTAGTTTAAGTTAATCTAGTGAAGCTCTTTAGTGTAGCAAGTGTGAGAGCTCTTAGTGAGTAGTGACTTAGCAAATTATGTGCCTAGTAATTATAGTAACTAGAATTGTTGGATATGTGACTTGCAACCTGTGTAGAGCTAGGACAAGTTTGCATTTCGCTATTTGTCATACTAATCAAATTACTCTAGTTGATTTGTAGATTTTTAAATAGGCTATTCACCCC